CATTGAGGCTCTTGGTGTGCCACTTGTGTCCCCTCTGTTGGGGTGGCTCAAACCAGAGCACAGATCAGTCCCTGCCCTCGCTGCTGGCACAGGACACTCATCCCAGAGGAGCAGTGGGAGCTGCTCATCACCAAACCTTGCAAAGGTGGGGTCATCACTCCTACCGCCCCTTCAGCCAGCCTGAAATGTTATAAAATCAATTCCTGAGCTGGAAGGGACCCACCAGGATCATCCAGCCCAACTCCAGGCCCTGCCCAGACATCCCAACACCCCCACCCTGCACACCCCTGACAGCGCTGTCCCAATGCTCCTGGAGCTCTGGCAGCCTCAGGACTGTGACTGTATTTTCCCTTCAGAACATCTGCATAAATACCCCTAAAGTTAAAGATGTGCTGCCAGCGGGTTCCAAACCCRCATTTTCTCATCGATTTGGCTTGAACTGAACAGGCTGGAACTTTTAATTTTCTTAAAAGGAAAACACTCTGCAAATGTAAGCTGCTGAACATCTTAGGTAAATGTACCAATTAGCAACTACCATGTATATCCACATAAACATTAACTACCATCCATTCAACGCATTCCATAACCCCAAAGATAATAACGATTTCCTTTTGATCCATAAAAACATCTCTCCGCTCAATCAACGCTTCGCAGCGGCTCTGACGTACGCCCTGGGACTAAATTAGTTTTGAAATCTTTAGCTCTAATTAAATAACATTATTTCTTTTGTCTGGCTCCGGCAACGTATTCTGCTTGCACAACAGAAGGAGGGAGCCCAGGCGAGGGAGGGGTTGAGGGTGAGCAAGGCAACGTTCCCCTTTCCCGTTCATTTCCAGAATTATTTCATGTATGGACACATGTCAGAGCTCTGAGCTGCTGCCAAGGGTTGWTTGAGCAGAAGGAGAAATCAAAGGAAAATCATCATTATCTTTGGGGTCAGGGAAGGAAGGGGTGGCAGCTGTGTAAGTTTGGGGGTAGGGAACGTTGTAGGRTTGTGGAAGGAGAAAAGCAAATGCAGGGGAAATTGCAAACCAGGAATTTGAACTAATTTTTCACAGTGCAGACTCCARTGAGGGGCACCTCCAACCACAGCTGCTACCTTAATTCACTTCTTTTGGCTGCTTAAAACTAATCAGCATTGATCTGACTAAAAGCAGCAAAATTCTTGATTTGGATATTTTTTAAAGGGTTTTTTTCCCCCTCCCCTAAATAGAACTAACCAGGAATAAGAACAACTGGGAAAAAACAAATCCAATTTCAATTTAAACAAACCTAAATACATGAACGGTTTCACTCTGAGGGTTGAACAATCAGGCTGGATCTGGGAGCAGCAGTACAGACTGGGTTTTGTCCAAGCTTTTCAAGAAAAATACCATTTTCATTAAGTTCTCTGCAGCCACGTCCGTGCCGGGAAGCCTGGCTGAGGTTCCTGCCTTTTCCCAGCAGTGGGGAGAGCCCTCCCTCCCACTCTGCCAGCACAACACAACCCTCCAGCTCTGCCACGGCTCCCCTCCCACCTCCCACACAAAAAGGTCCTCTGCATGATTTCGGGAGTCACTTCCAGTTTGCAGTCTCAGGCAATAACCTTCTGTGCTGCTCATGGGAAAGATTAATCATTGGGAAATGCAGGGTGATAAAATGTGAGTGTGTGGATAGTTTAAAACCACACAAAGAGTTTGAAACCAGCCTTCCCTCAGGCRCTGGAGCTGTCCCAGTCCTGCAGGAAGGGTAACATGATGTGAGTGATGACACTGACTCTCTTCACATCCTTAAATTTATGGGCAGAATATCTCGAATTGGAGCATAAATTCAGAGTTGAAGTGCCAAACACTCAGTGCCTGTGCTGCTCCTCCTAAAACTGCTCTACTCCACCCCAGAGCCGCTTTGCTCCCCAAGCAGCTTCCTTTGCTCCTGTTTCCAGGACTGAACAGGATTGAACAGATCCCCATTGCTCTCACAACAGATTCATTACCAACCCGCTTGACCCAGCATCAAAACTTTTTGTCAAGCATGACTAAGAAGGCAGCGTGACCCCCAAAAAACCCCTGTGATGTGTGGGGGACTCACCCAGGACGGTCAGCCGGGCAGGTCGGGATCGGATGGCCGCTTGGATGGCCTGGCACTCGTACACGGCGTCATCCTGCAGATCAGCTCGCAGGATCTTCAGGTGGTGCTGCCCTGACAGGTGATCTCCTACGACCAGGTAACGTGGATAACCTGCCAAGGGCAAAGTGTAGGTCAGGGACTGGAGACACCAGCCTCGGGATGAGGAGCACAGAGCCCCAGCACCCCACAGCAGTTCAAGATCCAGGCAGATTCCTCCCCTCCTGGGCTGCCAGCCCAAAGAGAGAGAGAAAGAACCTGCCAAGTTCGGGAAAGAGACYGCATGTTTTGCTCCACAGGTTCAAAAAGGAAGTGCTGATGAAGGAGCGTCAACTGAAATCCCAAGGAAYTGTGGAATCACAGAATGTTCAGTGCTGGAAAACTGGGCTTTGTCCTCACAGATCTTCTGGTCCCAAACCTGCCTGCCATGGGCAGAGACACCTCCCACTGGTAGCTCAAGGCCTTTTTCAATCTAGCTTGGAACTCAGAATTCCAGAATCCCAGAATCACCAGGGTTGGAGGAGACCTTCAAGATCATCGAGTCCAACCCCAGCCCCGACACCTCAACTCACCCACAGCACCCAGCACCACATCCAATCTCTCTTTAAACACATCCAGGGACGGTGACTGCACCCCCTCCCCGGGCAGACCATCCCAGTGCTTTATCACTCTTTCTGTAAAGAACTTTTTCCTGATATCCAATCTATATTTGCTTTGATGCAGCTCAAGGCTGTGTCCTCCTGTTCTGCCTGGAGAAAGAGCCCGACCCCCTCTGCCCACAGCCCCTTCAGGCAGTTGTGGAGTGTTGAGGTCACTCTGAGTCTCCTTTTCTCCAGGCTGAACACCCCCAGCTCCCTCAGCCATTCCTCCCAGGGTTTGTGTTCCCAGCCCTTCCCCAACCTTGTTGCCTCCTCTGGGTGTGCTCGAGCATCTCAATGTCCATCCTAAACTGAGGGGCCAGAGCTGGACACAGCACTCGAGGTGTGGCCTCACCAGTGCTGAGTACAGGGGAAGAAGGACATCCCTGGTCCTGCTGGCCACACTATTCCTGATACAAGCCAGGATGCTGTTGGCCTGTTTGGCCACCAAGGCACACTGCTGGCTYATATTGCAGGGCTGGGGCATCCACAGCCTCCCTGGGCAAGGAAAAGGGATGGCCCTTCCACCAGGAATAGCCCTTTGCCCAGAAATGGCCYTTCCWTYAGGGGTCCCACCACCTCCACCTCCTCTGCAGCCTGCTGTGGAATAACCTCAGCTCCTGAAGCCAGCTGTGGTGACACCTGGAACACTCCAGCTCTGTGCAAAGCTTGGGCAGGGCTCTGGGGGCACTGGCAGCCCTGGTCAGCCTGGCTGGACACTCAGGATGGACACAGGGGAGGAGAGGCACCCTCCCCATCCAKCCAGTGCSCAATGCCCTGTGTAACACAGCGCTGGTGCACGCTCAGCTTTTGTTGTTCCTCGAGTTATCAGCAGCGGGATTTGCTCTCCTGAACCGCGAGAAATACAAATGATGGGTTTGTTTGCACTGCGCTAATTAGGCACTGGCTGAGCTGGTACCACGCGAGCTGGCAGCTCCTGTGGCTTCCAGCAGCCCTGGCTTCGTTAATTGTGGAAGTCATTCACATCAGCTCCCTCCTTCACTGGAGCTCTTGTTACCCAGCCGTGCTGCAAGGTCTTGCATGGAGAGCTCGGCTCCCTAACAGATGCAAAAGTTGTGGCTCAGAGCTTTGAAAAACAGGCGAAGACGGGGCTGCTGGCTCAGGCAGGGCTGAAAATGAGCAATTATAGGTATTAATAAARAATGGAGAAGGAGAAGCAGGTGCTGCACTTTAGGGAAGAGCAGGATCCCTGGGGATCCAAAAGCACAGAGCTTCCCCTGGTTTCTGAGCGCTGCTTCTTGCCTGGGGGAAAACCCTCTCAGGTCACCAGGAGCAGAGTAGTGCCACACGTGTACAAACTCTGCAGAGCCTGGGGGGACACTGAAGCTCCTGAAGGGTTCCAGTTCCTCCCAGGCTGGTGCTTTTCCAGCAAATACTCTCCTTACTCCCGTGAAATATTTAGTGTTTTCCAGCAAAATATACAGAATAAACTCTAAACTTCCCCAGAGTTGCACCAGTCTTCACCAGCTGCAATTAACCCTCAATCACAATGTGGACGTGGGATTAAATAATGTGAATTCTGAGGAATTTGGTCACCAAACTGTAATTTGCCTAAATTAAACTTGAGCAAGCCACAAGCACTTGTCCAAAGCAAACAGAGGCTTGTGGGTCACTTGAAGCTCAGGATATTCTATGATTATTTTTATTTTTGAGAATATTAAAACAGGCACTTTCAWCATTTATAAAACATTTTTATAAAACATCCTGCATTTTGGAAAGGTGACATTTGGTTCCAGAAGTCAAGGAAACCAAAACAGGGCTTTCCAAAGAGTCAGGTAATGCCTGTGGGGAGCCAACAGTTTTTTTTCAGGTCAGAGTGGAACAAGTTTCAGTTTATCCCAAGCATCAGTGCCTGTGTTTGGGCWGGCTGGAAGGTGCTGGAGTTGAAATGAAAACTTTATTGCCCAGATAAATGTTGTGTCTGCACTGCTGGGCAAGGAGAGCTCCCCTTCCCTCGTTTAGGGAGAGCAGTGTCCCAACTTACTTGAGAGATCGCGTCCGACGCCGAGGGCCAGCCCGTCCTTGATCCAGAGCACGATGCCATTGTACTCGGGGATGGCACAGAGCAGTGTCACCGGCTGCCCCGCGATCACCACCTGGTCCTGGGGCTGCTGTGTGAACGAGGAYGCCTGACCTGCAGAGGGGAACACGAGAGCAACGGGAGCCTGTCAGTTCTCAGCGGTTTGCAGTTCTCAACACSATGCCCTTCCTTGGGATGCAGCAGCTCAGGATGCTCCTGGCACAGCAGAAAATGGGAGACTGAGCTCTGCAGCTCCTAATTATGTGATTGCTTAATTATGTGATTGCTTCATAGAATGGTGGAATGGTCTGGTTTGGAAGGGACATCAAAGCTCATCCTGTTCACAGGGAACAATTCCTTCCCAATATCCCATCCATCCCTGCCCTCTGGCAGTGGAAGCCATTCCCTGTGTCCTGTCCCTCCATCCCTTGTCCCCAGTCCCTCTCCAGCTCTCCTGGAGCCCCTTTAGGCCATGGAAAAGGCTCTGAGCTCTCTCTGGAGCTTTCTCCTCTCCAGGTGAGCACCCCCAGCTCTCCCAGCCTGGCTCCAGAGCAGAGGGACTCCAGCCCTTGGAGGATCTCTGTGATCTCCTCTGGACTCACTCCAGAAGCCTCTCATCTTTCCTGTGCTGAGGACCCAAAGCTGGACACAGCACTTAGTGACAGACAAACATTTGCAATATTTTTGCTCCCTGGGGGGAGGGAAAAAAAGCACCAGCCAAGAGGCACTGGCATTTCCTGTAAATGTTTTATTCCAAATAGTGGTGGTAATGTTTCAGCCACAACGATCACAGACAGAGGAGCAGCAGGATGTCCAGCAGCAGCAGCAGCAGCCAACACCAGTAGAAGCAGCAATATTTTATATTACACATAATAAAAGAGGATGTKAGTCCTGTACTTCTGAGCCTTGCTCCCACCTCACGAGCTCCCTGAAATCAGGATGTGCAGAYAACAACCTGCTGTAAAACATGCAGGGAAACATCCAGCTGTTCCCTTCCCTCCCCARGTGAAACCTCCTGGCATTTGCTGGGCGCTTCCCACACATCTGGAGGGGAAGGGAAGGGAAGGGAAGGAGCAGCTCTGGCTCATCACTGCCTTCTGCTGAAGCTGCATTGTCAAACTCACAAATCCCCRTTCTCACCCATCCGTACCCAGCAATAACAAACCCCAGCCCCCAGGTCATCCCTGCCRTGGTGGGATGTCTCACACCTCAGGTGTGACATGACACTTCTCATTTTCCGTGGGAAGCACTCCAGGCACTGTAACCCCTTCCACAGCAGAGTTTGCTCATCATCATGTTTTATCTTCACTCTACCTTAGCTTTGCCATGATTGAAAATCATTCATGGARTCAGAGAATCCCAGAAWGGSTTKGATTGGGAGGGATCCTAAAGATAATCCCATCTCATCCCACCCCTGCCATGKGCAKGGACACCTTCCCCTATCCCARGTTGCTCCAAGCYSTGTCCAACTTGGCCTYRGACACTTCCAARRATTCAAACTGTCAAATCCTGCTATYKTTTTCTTTCCATAATGAGTGCACAGAACCCCAAAATCCCCCTAAATTGCTGCAGTCTAATGCTGGAAGGTCCTAAATCTGCCACTTCAGGCAGATCTGCTGATGTCTGGGCTCCTGTGAACACGCTCCTGTGGTTGTAGAGCATCTCAATTGCTTTACCACCATTTAAAGTCTTGCCCTGACTGCGTTCAGGAGAGATGCGAGAAAAAGAGGAGTTGGGAGGAAGGCAGAACCTCTGAACTGTCCCCACTGAGTTCCCTGTGGGGTTTTTAAGACCAGGAGCCTCTCTGGGCGGAATTCTGGCCCTGCACCAGGCAGGAATTCAGAGCCAATGCCCCTCCACTGAGTGTCTGTTCAGTCCATGGAGTGGGACCAGGCTGGAAGAAAAATTGCTCTTTAAAACCAATTTGTCAAAGCGGGATGGTCTCCATGTGATCCACCCCAAATCAATTCCATCCTAATTTACACCGACTCCATTTAATCACTGACTGATGATTACTCCGGAACCAAGGTTAAGTGTGACACGAGTTCTCGCCTCTGAACTTGTTTCCAGATGAGCTGCTGGGCCTTTCCTGCAGGGCAAAGCTCCAAAGCTCCATCATTTTCCAACTCGTGCCACTGAACCAACGTGTGCCCCATTGTGAGCACTTATATTTCAATTTAATTTATTGTGGCTTCAACTTGCTTTTAGCCGGCTAAAGGAGCATGGGGAAGAGCAGAGCTGTCCTTTCTACATTCCAGCTGCTTCACAGACAGGAAGGAAGAAAGCCCAGCTKAAATATTTGCAGATCTCCAGGAGCACCTTGAAGCACTGTGTTCTCAGGTTATTTCAGAGATCCCAGGTCTCCCAGCACACGCATATCTGATTTTCCCAAG